CCAGAATGCATTGCATGGCTGCGGCAACAAAGCGTCATGCAACAGCTGGCGTTGATGGGGGTTTCCGGATCGAACGGTAGCAGGAACATGTCTAGCGCAGCCAGCAGCAGTTACAGCTCGGTCGCACCCGGCATGAACGCAACGGCTGCAGCCTGGTTGCAGTATCAGGCTGCGTTGGGCATGGTGGGAGGAAAAGGAAGTAGCAGTTCCGGGAGCGTCATGCAGTTGAATAGGGGGAGCACGGTGTCGAGTGGCGGCAGATTCGGAGCTGGGAGTGCGGGATATGCTACGCCCACGCCGGTGGTAGGGAGCGCAGCAGCGTCGGTAAGGAGTTTTCAGGTTGGCGGAGGGAACCAACAGCAGCAGCAGGCTGCGTTGTTGGCGGCTGTTGCGGCGGCGGCGAACGAGCAGCAGCAGCATCAAATGGAAAATGTTGTCGTGCCGGTCACGACATCTTCTGCAGCAAAAGGAATCGCCATTTCCTCATCCACATCCGCATCGGGATCCATCCTGCCACCCAACCTTCTGCAACCCATCTTATCCCTTCCCGTGACATTACCCCTCGCAACGCCGTCTCTTCCCGCTGTTCCGCAGGCCAATTCACCCACGACCCCTTCGCCCGTTTTGGCGCCAACACCCAACGACGACGAAGCTGTCGTTCATGAACCTGTTGAAACGCCTTACGTTTGCGTGAGCGGGTATGAACCTACGGGGACGTGCGAGGAAGGTGAAGAGGAGCTCAGGATCCGACCTGGTGAACATGTGATTGTAAGGTAACAACCACCTTTCCCTTTCTCCGCAGCCCCCATTCCCCTCTCGAACCAAAAGCTAACGTGTTTTCAACAGCGACATCTTTGAGGACGGCTGGGCGGTCGGCACAAACCTGAACACATCCACCGTAGGGCTTTTCCAGGTCTCCAAAGTCACTTTTGACCGCACGTTGACGACGGACCCCTCCAACAGGGTCATGAGCAGCCATTCGGCTTTACACGTCGACGACGAGGAAGACGGATCGTTGTCTTCCAACGGCGTCGGGGGTGCACCGGGGCCCGGATCGGACGGCGTTGTGGAGGTTGTGACGCACGCGAGTGCGGCGTTTGTGCCGTCCGTTGTGGCTCCCTTGGCGCCTGTCCAAGCTCCTGTTGTTGCACCGCCGGAACCTGCAGCGATACCGGAGCAACCGCAGCCACAGCAGAACATTGATCAGCAAAAGGTCTTGCTGCTGGAAGCCCAGATTCAGCAGATGAAGATGATGATGGAGAGGATGGAAGCGAGTTTGAAGATGGCGCAACAGGGAGGCGGTGGAGCGCCTCAGCAGGGTTGATCGGGTGCCTCATTTGTGATGATATTTTTTTGGGAACGAGCAAGGGCCTCATATGAATTGTTGTATTGTTTGGGACGGAGGCTTTTTGGATACCTCTTGTTTTGATTATTACGGATAAAAATAAAGTAATTTGGGGGAGGTTTGGTGATGGGAGAAATAACAAAGAATCACACAATTTTCGCGACATTAGCATTTTGATGCAGCTGGTGCAACTGGGGATGCAACACGTCAAGCAACTGGGGATCCAACCCAGCGCTTTGCCCAGCGCTTGTATGAGTATGCTGTATGCCAATTTTTCTCTTTTTAGAACGAGCACAAAAACGTTGTTTTTGTAATAAATGATGCAAATACGGTGGTTGGAAACGGAAGGAACGGGAAATGAGATAATAGTAAAAAAAGAAAAGATCTGATGAGATTTTACTGACAATCATAGAGTGCTGGCTGGAAAATTGTCATGTAAGGGAATAAGCCTCTATTAGCAGCATAGTTGGACTTAGAATATTTCTATCTTTCTGTCTGTATCACAATAAATTGTCAAAAAAACTGATCAAAAACACTTCGACGACTGTTTCTCAACACTCGCCGAAGACTACAGGATACTTAGCCTCCATAAGGGCTTTTATCCTTACATGTCAATAAGGAAAGCGTCGTTAGTTAAACGGTATAATACTAGCCTTCCAAGCTCGAGACCCGGGTTCGACTCCCGGACGACGCACAGAAATTCTTTTTTTGTGCAATCCAAAGTTGTCCGATTAATGCGGACGTTATAAACAGAAAATTTTTTCAGGAAAAAAGATGTTCTCATGAGAATACGAAAAAAAAGGTCAGAAAAAAAGATGTACCCATACGAAAAAGAAAGTTCCTTTTTGAAAACATTGGAGCAACTGGGGATCGAACCCAGGGCCTTTCGCATGCGAAGCGAACGTTATACCACTAAACTATTACCCCAACTATTTTAATTTTGAAACTTGACTTTAAAATAGCTAATTTTTATAAAGGTTGATGGTTTATCTTCCTTTCGAAGGAATGATTGAAGAACGAAAGGAAAAAAAGTTGCCAGAGCAGCCTTGAAAGGTCCCTCTGATGTGGATTGACTATTTACTATGCGGGGTCCTGCTCTGCGCCTAGTAGCTCAAACTGGGGAGAGAAAATTTCGAAGTCACCAGAAAAAAACGAAAAGCAAAATGGCCACAGCTATCCTCGCAGGAGCCGGCATTGCAGCAGCAGCACTGGTCGGCAGAGCCGCATACGTTGCCATGAAGGGAGGAAAGGGTGTCGTCGGAGCTGGAGGAAAGGCTTTCTTCAAGGGAGGATTCGAGGCAAAGATGTCCAAACGGGAGGCTGCTTTGATCCTCGGAATCCCCGAGAGCGCAAGCAAGAACAAGCTCAAGGAGGCTCACAGGAGGATCATGCTGCTGAACCATCCCGACAGAGGAGGCAGCCCTTACATGGCCTCCAAGATCAATGAAGCCAAGGATCTCCTGGACAAGCTAAAGAATTGAGCTTACGGCGCTGTCAACCACCATCTCCGCCCATCACTCTAGATCAACCATACGGTCCATAGCTACCTGCTCTTACACCAACATCAGTTTTTCCGCATCAACTACTCACTTGAATCCGATCGTTTGGCTATCACAATCAGAGGAAGTCCTCCAAATCCAACCCACTAGCAAAGGATGTGCTTCCTTCAACAAAAGGCACTTATTTATTCCACATCGACGGGTCCCTGAACGTCTTTTCTCAGTGTATTCCTTTAATGAATAAAGGACTTTTGCATTCCTAAGGCAATATCTGGGCCATCTGCCCTTGATTATATCTTTCCAATGAACGCAGCAACGATCCTCAATCAAATCTTTTCGTCCCCTCTTAGCCTCGATACTCTGCAGATACATGCTGCGATGATGACGATCAGGAGAAGGCGGCTGTAGCATCCTCTTTCCGAGACGGCGCTACTGCTGATGCGAAGATGTCTAAAAGGGAGAAATGGAAGAAGCAAAATTTGAAGCTCCACAAAGAGGACCCTGCACGCATTCAGGGAAAACCCAGAAGCAACCATTAAATAAACCATTATAAGGGGCGTCTGATCGCACTGGCCCATCACTGGACATCGCTGGATCCTCGACTTCACAGTGGCCGTCAAGCGTTATCCTTCTCAAAGTTGTCTCTTTTCGTCCTTTGGTTTTTGATTCTTGTCCTCCCGCACAAAAAAAAAAAATTCCAATTGCGGAGGGGGAAGAGAGGAAAAGGAAATCTGCGATGGCCGAGGATCAACACCAGCAGCAGCAGCATCAGCAGCCGCAGCTGGGAGGCCAGAGCCAGAGCCAGAACCAGAGCCAGAGCCAGAGCATGGGATCATCATCGCATCATGGTCTCAGAAGAGTCGCCCCGTTCGATGCCTCCACGGGGACTGGTGGAGCCAGCAGGACTGTGCTCCCCGTTCCCAGAAAGCTGTCAGGAAGCAGGCTCTTCACGCAGGAGGAAATCGACAGCATCTTTGCTTCAATAGCGCCTTCCATGATACCTGTGATTCCTCCACTGGCTGTGGGATCAAATCCAAATTATCCGCCATCCATTGCTTCAACAGCATCAACAGAGGATTACGGAGGTCCAACAACTACAACGTCTCTGCTCAACAATCATCACCATAGACATCATCATCACAATCATCCGAATCAGCAGCAGCATCTTTCAACCGCAACATCATCGTCGTCAAGTTCAGCTTCGGCCATCCCTTCACCCCAACTTGGGAAATCGACTTCCATTCTTGCGGCCTACTCAAAACCTCCCGCACAATCTTCACCTCTAGCCGCTCCCCCTTCATTCGCCGTATCAAGTGGCTCATCACCCACATCGCCGTCAAATTCAAAGGACAGGGCCACTTCTGTCCATTCACATCACAACCGTCTCTTTTCTCCGCTGTCTAGCCCCAGTCCGAGTGGCCGGAGTCAGGATGGCTACGATGCCGCAGCCGATGTTTACGGCATGTACATGGACACCCCCTCACCCTCTCCCGTCCACAAGAGTCCTGTGGCTAGGCCAGCAGCGATCGCAGCGACACCGCAGCTGAGCACTGCATCGGATATTACGGAAGACGAAGTACCTCCTCCGCCAACACTACCGCAAAGACGAAGATCAACTCGATCTCGGAATGCAACAGTTCCCATGCCTTCGGGTGGGGATCACATGGAAAACGATTACTCGGATGACGACTGGTCAGATGTGGGAGAGCTTCCTTGGGCTCCTGGACAAAAGGCTTCTGGATTGGATCTGAATGCACAGGCTGCTGCCGCTGCCCCTGCTGCTTCTGTTTCTGTCGGGACGGCTACGCATGCGACATTGTCTTCGTCACCAGCAATGACAATAGCAACGTCGCTAAGCGGTGAAAGTACATTGAAACTCAATCAACCTCCTCCAAGATCGGAATCAGTCTTGAAGGCAGCAAGGCAGCTTCCAAACTCAACGGCGGTTGCCCTGTCTTTTCAAAGGGAGCAGCAGCAAAAGCAGCATCAGGGACCGTCGAATGATACCACATGGAAATTGCCAATGTCAACGGCGAGCTTGGCAAACCCTCCTAGAGTGGATTCGATGAAAAAATCGGCTGCAGACAAGGCAAATGCTGCCGCTGCTGCTGCAGTTGCCGCTGCAAAGAATGCCGTATCATCCGATTCGCTTCTTTCATCTTCACAGAAATCAAGGCCCATCCCTCCCCACCCCATCTCCATTCCCATCGCAAACAATGCGCAACCGACTCAAATGCTTCCACAACCTCCGCCAGTGAATGCCCCATCCATAATATCAACTTCTACACCACCTCAGATTCCGTCCCTAAACCCCCACGCTACAGACCCTTCAGCAATTCCGCCGCCGTTCTTGAATCCAGCTTTCCCTGCACTTTACCCGAGTCAGGCTGCTGCCGTAGCCGCAGCGCAGATGAGGATGACGTCAATGCTGAGATCGACGACAGGGGGGCCACTTCTTTTGCCGTTTTATCCACCTTTCATGGGACCTATCGGGCCCGGAGGATTGCCTATCATGCCCACAGGAATGCAAGGAACAATGCCGCCAAACCCCCTGCTGGTCCCTCCAGGAGGAAGACAAGCTTTGGCCGCAGCTTTGAGTGCAGCAGCTCAGTCTTTGGCAGCCCAAGGGAAGGATGGTGCTAACCTGTCGGCGGCTGGTCCGCCGGCATCGGGGTTGATGGGAGCGCCGAATTCGGTTCCGGGAGTGGGTCCTGTTCCTTCGTCTTCGCATTCGGCTTCAATTCCTTGGCCCATGGGATTTCCCATGATTCCTCCTTCGCTTTTGCAACCTCCCCCGGCTGGCACCGGATTGCCTGCGAATGGGATAACGGCAACTCTTCCGAGCGGAATGATACCGCCGCCTCCAGCGCTGAGTACTTTGATTCAGCAGCAAAAGCAGCAGCAGCAACAACAGCTTCAGCCTCCAACTTCGGCAGGATCTGGATCCACCATCAACCCGGCTTTAACTCTCACCCCGGCAAAGACGTTGAACTCTGGATCGCCGGGATCTCCAGGAATAGGCATTCAGGGATTGCCTGCCCGGTCAACGAGCAGACCCGTCAACGCTGGAGTTGTTCCTGGAAGTACGGGACCTCTGACGCCGCCATTGGATCCGTCAAAGATGGCCCAGTTCCAGCCGTTCCTTTCGCAATTTGATCCACACGCTGCCGCCATGGCTGCGGCCGCTGTTGCTGCTGCTGCAGCCACGGCATCGGCGGGCGGAACGCCTTTGACTCGTGCTCCTAGACCTGCCACGGCAAAGGGACCAGATGGCTCATATCAAATCCCTTCACCTGCTACAAAGGGTGCTCCACCTCCATCCGTACCTCCTCTCGATCCTCTACCACCAGTTCCGCAACAGCCGCAACCACCCAAACCAGCTCAACCCCAACCTTCAACTCAACCCACACCGATGCCTCCCAAATCTAAGAACCCGGCTGTGGCAGCATGGGTGGAAGACATTGCCAAAATCGATCCAAGTGAATTCGAGAGGGTTGTCAGCTTCCATGCTCCAACGACCTTGTCCAGGAAGAGCACCTTGATGATCAGCGACGAAGACGATGGGATCGATGCCAATGATTCTGTGTCCAGGATTGGAGCTGCAGTGGATCCCATTCCGCCTCATCTTGTACAATGGCTTGCGGCCGCTGCGGCCGCTGCTGCCGCCAATGCGAACGTGAACAAAGCGCCAGCGTCGGGTGGTGCAGCCAACAATGCTTCAGGATCTGGAGCGCCACCGCCTCCAACCCTCCGTGACCTTTCCCAGCTCCTCAACCTGACGACACCCGTGATTCCAGCTTCCGTTTTGGTTCCATTCTTGCAACCACCGCCGGAGGGCCTCGATATTGAGAACGGGGATGCCATGCCGGCCACAAGTAGCGGACCTGCACCCAAAGCCGATCTCGCAGATCAGGAATCCGTGGTTTCTTACACGCGGCCCGCGAACCCCACGTCAGGAGGAGAAGACAAATCGGAAGTCAAGGTTCAGTCCGTCAGGAGGCGAGCGAGTAGCAAATCCATGGCTTGGATGAGACGAAACAGTCTTGATATGGATCTCGTGAGACATGCTTCCGGACCGGTTGCAAGCGGAGCTGCGGCCAATGCGGTTGAAGATGGGAAGGATGCGCCAAAGGGTGTTGGATTGCAGTACTTTACGCCTGATATGGTGGAAGGTGCTGGTGGAGAGTACCCTAAGGGAGAAAAACCGGGAGAGTTGACGGGATGGGAGGATATTGCTTGGATGGGGACTTCCGGGAGCAGGGGAAGTAGGGGTAGTAGAGGCAGCAGAGGGAGCAGGGTTAGCACCAGGATTCCGTTTGCGACTTCTCCTGTTGCTGGATCCACACCTTCTCATGTGACTTTTGTGTTTGTGAATCGTCAATGTAAGTTTTGGTTTTTGCGAATTTTCCGGTTGATATATGGTGATCT